AGCCCTTTCTTTCAGGGGCCTCAGCCTGGCAGGTATCAGGCTGGAGTTTTCCCCCTGCTCCTGCCCAGCACTGCTCTAGCTCAGGTGCTATCCCTGGGAGCCGAGCCGAGCCGAGCCGAGCCGAGCCGAGCCGAGCCGAGCCAGTCCCAGTCCCAGTCCCAGTCCCAGTCCCAGTCCCAGTCCCAGTCCCAGTCCCAGTCCTCCTCCTACTCCTCCCTTGCCTGTCAGGGAGAGACTCCCCTCTGTTCTGCTGGGCAGCCCCTTATATCTGGGCATCCCCAGCAGCTGCCTCCTGTTTGGCTCCTAACAGGCCAACTCCTTAATTGGCTGCAGGTGTGAGCAGCCTCCCTGGCTGCTTCTCTCCTCCCCCTGCTGGAGTGGGCCACTTGCACCACTACACTAACAGAGCCAGGATTTTGTAAATTTGCAACATCCCGTTAGTGTCAAAGAACCCAAAGTGGGTAAAGTTACTTTTATGCCATGGTCTTTCCATAACGTGGGTCTAGGTTATGACAAAAGGCAGTAAGTAAATGAGAGAAACTGGAGTCTGAAGGGTGGGAGGGGAAAGTAAATCTCACTTGCAGATTGTCTGTCCTGGGATTGTGAGGCTGCAAGGATTTTGGTTCCATTTGTCAGGAAGGAGTTAAAATTCAGCCAGCAGAAAAGACAGAAACTGCTGAGAAGCATATTTCCATAAAGCCTTATGGGGTACATCCTCACACCGTCTATCTCTGCTTAGCCACCCACAAACAGGAACCAGCGCCCAATGTCAGGTGGCTCAGGCGTCTAAGGCATTTCTTGCTGGAATGAGGGAGGCACCTGCCTCACGCCACACAAAATGTGGGAGAGAAGGAGGGGAGGGTGTTGGTGATGTCACCCTCCTTCCAACTTTTATCCCCATGGTTAGAGCACTCAGCTGGCATGTGGGAGACCCAGGTTCAATCCCCCTGTCTAGAGTAGCTCAGGAATGTGAATACCAAACCAGGGCACAAACCCTATGCTGGTTAGATTTCACCCACTAGGAAGTCGCAGACTGTCATATATCCTGCCTTTGTGATAGATGGTCCCTTACACCAACTCACCCCAATATTAAGGTTACACCCAGTTCCAAAGGACCAGTCACTTAGCCCAGGTCAGTTGTACCTCATATCTCTCGTCAAAGACAATGCTCATAGCCAATACTATAGTAAACTCTCTGAGGATTTATGAACTAAGAAAATAAATACGAGAGTTATTTACAAAGTTAAAGCAGGTATAGAGATCATTTCTTTTTGACAAGGAGTTTTATTCACTTGCTTCCCCTGAGAGTTCAAGCTGATGGGAGGAGTGCTTGTGCATGTCTCCTTTTTATGGGTGTGTGGGGAG